AAACTGACTGTAATGGCCTTTGTCGAAAGTTTGTGACTATTTGTTTCAAATAAAATGTTCTGTTCTAAGGCTGTTTTGAAAATGGTCTACTTACTATTCAAACAGTATTCAATTACTATTTGTATTCTATTTGGTGCCATTACTATTTGACTCTTACTTGATTAGGTTCCGAAATTCACTATTCACACACTTCTGATAACTGCGAACGTTCTTTTTGTGCGGGAAGCATTATGTTGGAGAAGTTGAACATTGTGTAAATCACTCTTTTGGATCATAAAGCTTCACTAAGGAGACAGCCATATTCTAACCTGTCTTTGCATTGTAAAACATGCAGCTGCGCAACCTTGTTTGCTGACACGACGGCGCAGTCTAGGTTCAAAGATAGGGTAGCACGTGTCAAGAAGCATATCTCTTTTAACAATGAGCTGCACCATCTTGAAAAGTGGCAGTGCGAGAGAAATGCGGACAGACAGTGAAGACACAAGGACTGCAGGGCGAGACTTGCTAGAGATGTGCCTCAGAATAACAACATGCAATTCCCTCTAGTGCAAATTCTCAAGGCAGCACTACACTTGCAACATGGCTTGAGCTTGGAGGTGCTGCACCTTTTCGGCAAGACAGCGGTTGTGCAATGCCCAACACAAAAGCACCGTCGCTGTTTTTGAAGATCACTTGACTTAATGAAACATTACGAATGCCTTCGTTGTGTATATATGTGCGTGACTATACATACTGTTTGTGTGTATATGTAAACGTATATGTCACAGTCAGGCGCATAGCCAAAATTTTTTTTCAGTGGGGGGGGGCAGTAAAATGTAAATTGCTGGCAGTAAAATGTAGGCAACAATAACCATCGCCATTGTGAACTTCATGCGCCCTTATCTTGTTGGTGCTTGCCTAGAGTGAAACGGAATAATAAAAAGCTGCAAATAATTTTGGACATAGGATGACATACCGAAGTGCCCTGGTTTTTCCCACCAAGTCCTTCATTTCCGAGTATTTGGCGATGAAGAACCTTGTTTTTCGGGCGCTCCAAAGCTCTTCCACATCTTCAGCCGACGCGGCTGCTGCTGGAAATGCGGCTAAAGCCCCATCGCTGTCAACGTCGCCGTCGCAGGCAGGAGAAGGCGTCGGCGGTTGTGCCGGAGGGGGGTCATTTTCACGATTCCCTGCCATGAACCGCAACGTAACGCGCTTGCCGTCTGCAAGGGCGAAAACCAAGATTAAAAATACCGACATAGCATAAGCAATGCTACGAGGCTGTTTGCTGACCGACTACGACTCCTGGCCGCTAACCACGTTTTTTGGCAATGCATGCAGCCTGACTTACCTGATGCCTCATAGACGTAACCGTTGGCGTCCGTCATAAATGACCCGTCGGGATTGTGAAGTGCCTTAACTTCCTTTTGAACGCCCTGAACAACTATTTGCAACGTCGTCTGCTCTGGCCTTGGGGGGACGCCCGCCATGCTGCACTACTCTGCACCTGCTTTGGAGTGCGTGCACGCCGGTACAGAACTCGTCAGGAACTAGGCTTACACCTAGACAAAACGAGGGAGCCAGTGCAGAGGGTGCGACAGAGGGCGCGCGCTGCTCCGGCAAAACGAGGACGAAGGTGCTGCACCCTTTGAACTGGTTCAGCCGGTGCAGCCAAAACGAAGAGACCAAAAGTGTGGCGGAGAAAGCAACAGAGGAAGAGCTAGTGCTAGATAATTTCAACTGGAAAAAGGCCGAAGGAAAAATTCCAAAGCGCACTGCCGCGGGTTTAGATGGGATTCCCGTTAGCCTCATTAACGAACTAGGGCATAACACTAAAGAAGCATTGTTAAAAGCAGTAGAAAAAAGCTTAAAGGACGGACAAATACCGGACAGTTGGCGACAAAGTAGAATGAACTTAATCTATAAAGGCAAGGGAGAAAAGGACAAGATTCGCTCGTATAGACCACTAACCATTACATCGGTACTATACAGGTTGGCGATGCAAGCAGTAAAAATGAAAATAGAAACATGGGCCGAACATAACGATATTTTGGGAGAACTTCAGAACGGATTTCGAGTCGACAGGCGGTTAGACGATAACCTGTTTGTTCTCACTCAGTGTATAGAAATATCTAAAATAGAGAATAGGCCCTTGTACGTGGCTTTTCTAGACATCACTGGGGCATACGACAACGTTAATCAGGAAATTTTGTGGGATATATTGAAAGGAATGGGCATGGGCGACGACTGTATACAGCTTTTGAGGGAGATATACCGAGAAAATACAGTTTGCATAGAGTGGGAAGGAATGCGTAGCAAAGAGAACGTTGAGGTTAGCAGGGGTCTGAGACAGGGATGTCCTTTGTCCCCACTGTTATTCATGCTGTACATGGTGAGTATGGAAAAAGCGCTAGAAGGTAGCAACATTGGTTTTAATCTGTCACACAAACAGGGCGGCATGATGATTGAGCAGAAGCTTCCAGGTTTATTTTATGCGGACGATATCGTCTTATTTGCGGACAGTCGAGATGATATACAGCAGCTGGCGAATATATGCGGAAGGGAAGGTGAAGCTCTTGGACTAGGATTCAGTGTAACGAAGTGTGGTTTGATGGTATTCAATGATCCCTGTGATCAGACGGTGTCCATACAAGGCCAAGAAATTCCGAGGGTAAGTGAATACAAGTACCTTGGAGTATGGGTAAATGAGAGTGATAGATACATGGAGGTACAGGAAAAAGCCTCGGCAGCAAAAGGAAAGAGGAATGCGGCAATAATGAAGCACAGAGCGTTGTGGGGATACAATAGGTATGAGGTGCTTCGAGGTCTGTGGAAGGGTGTAATGGTTCCAGGGCTTACTTTTGGGAACTCAGTGGTGTGCATGAGGGCAGAGGTGCAATCGGGAATGGATGTAAATCAAAGGACTGTGGGACGCCTCGCGTTGGGTGCTCACGGGAAGACGACAAACGAGGCTGTAAAGGGCGATATGGGGTGGGCAGGTTTTGAGGCGAGGGAAGCGCAGAGCAAAATAAGGTTCGAAGAAAGGCTAAGAAATATGAAGGAGAGTAGATGGGCAGAGAAGGTGTTCCGTTATTTGTATAGGAAGAGCGTGGACACACAGTGGAGAAAAAGAACTAGAAGACTCACTAGTAAATATACGGCTGGTATTGTGAGCCATATGTCAACAAAGAGCGTTAAGGGAAAAGTCAGGGAGGCGGAGAGGATTTACTGGATGGCAGCTATGGAGAAAAAACCGGCTTTGAGTAACTACCGAAAGGGCAAAAATGAAATAAGGAGGGAGGCATTTTACGATAATTCAAGGGGAAGCGCTTTACTGTTTGAAGCGAGATCGGGTTGCCTTAGAACGCGTAGTTATAAAGCAAGATACAGTAAAGAAGAAGAACAATGCACATGCTGCGGGAAAGATAAGGAAACGGCGGAGCATGTTCTGATTGAATGTGGAGATATCCACCCAGGTGTACGTTTGGGCACGAGCCTACAGGAAGCCTTGGGTTTTAGGGACAACAATGGAAAGCTGAACACACCCGCGATTGAAATAAGTAAGAGACGGTTAGAGTATTGGTGGCAGAAAATTAGAGAGAAAGGACAAAAATAAATATTGGAAAAATAAAATATGGACAGTGTGCCGTAAATGGCAGAGAACTTAAGCTGAAAATTTACCTTTTTTCCATTAAGATAGAATTTATCGAAGTAGAGGCATTAGGCCAACATAAAAAAAAAAGGTTTTTTTTTTTTTGTCGAGCCTGGTGGCATACTTGTCACCACCCCGTTATAAAGGGGACGCTCATAGCATCCATCCATCCATCCATCCATGTAGCCACCTCTCGTTTAGTTCTTCAAGTCTTCACTAGATGGTGGTACTTGTATCTGATGATGAAAAGATGCAAGATGTTATAAACTAGACGGCGGTACTTGTAGTTGATGATGAAATATGCGAGATGTTATAAAATAGGAATGATGTCAAATATGGCACGTGCCATTGATGGAAGGGAATTGTTCGATCTATAGTGTGGCGACGTACGCTAGGGGGAGCGTTGTAATAAAATCGAGTGCGCAAAATGTACGCAGAATTCATGGTTTACCAGGTTTACCTCCGGAGCTTCGCCCACTCATCATCATTTACTTCGTGGATATGGCGGCACTTTTTAAGTGTGAACTTACTTTCACTGCTTGTTTTTGCACGTTACAGGTATGCATGATTTGTTTTTACGGTTTCACGTAGTGGACGGCCCTGGGTAATTTAGGCCAAGAGAGATTCTTCAACGTACTCTGAAATCACACAGCACGTGGACCTCTGGCATGTGATCTCTTTTCGAGTGTGGCCACTTCTTCCGGCATTGACACCGAGATTTGCGCTCAGGCAGCCAATCTTCGGATTTCCAGGACTCTGCGGCAATTTATTAAGAGTGAATACGTCTGAACCTATAACACATAACAGAACAACACCCTCTTCTTTTAAAATGATCTCACTAAAAGTGTCAATAAATGTAGAAATACACGTATGTGCCAGCCCTCGTGCACAATCAATTTAAAAATATCGCCGTATAGACGAGTCATACTAAATGCGCGTTCTTTTGTGAAAAAAAACGTGAATATTTTACAGTATTCACATACGATTGCCCGAGTAAAAGTGATTCCGAATGTGTTCGATATTCGTGCTAGCCGAAGTGGTGGCGTGTAAATGATCGCAGGGAACCGCAGCCAATTGGTAAGAATATTCAACGAGAAACAACGCTTCGATAATGCGATGCTCTGTTCCAACCAAATAAGGTCATTGCCACTGGAAAAAGAATAATAGCAAAAATTGCACTAAGCAAAAAGAACGTTACGGTCGGTACACAGCAAGGTACCAGAAAGTGCATATCGACGACTTCTTACGTTGTATAAATGTGCACTGCAGGCCGTGCACGGCTTATCTGTACTCCAAACCACACACAATAAATTGTCACCTGACACTCAAACCACGAATTGAGCAACAACAAATAGATTTCACCTCGCAGGTCTGCCTCAGCATTCTGGGAACTTTTCCTGGACCTGCGTGGAGCCCGGTACAAAACATCGGCACCGTACTCCTCTCCATACAGTCGCTGATGAACGAGGAGCCGTACTACAACGAACCGTGTGCGCCGCCACTGCCGGTGTTGGCCGCACGATACAGCGACAGAGTGCGACACGACACCGTCAGGGTGGCCATTTGCGACGCCGTGGAGGCGTGCCTCCGGGATGAACCAGCCCTATCCGGCGTACCTTGCGAGTGTGGTCCTGAAGACGTTCGCCGACTCGTACGACAAGTACGAGGACATGGTGAAGCGCCTGGTCGACCTGAACAACTCCTGACGGTTGTCGTGGATCCTGGGGATGGCGCCCACGTACCGGTACGAGCCGCTGCTGGCGCGCCTGAAGGAGCTCGTCCCGCGGGTCAAGGACAAGATCGCGGCGGATGCCGCTGCTGATGTAAACGCGCAATGAGGTGCAGCGGCGGTGGCACAGCGAACACATCGCGATTCACATTTTAAATGAGAAAAAAATGATGTAGAACGAAATTTAAAATATATACAAACACAAAATCTGGGGTCTGGTTTTTAGATTTTATAAGCCGAAATTTTGCAAGCAACCAGAGTTGCTTTACTATTCCGACGCACTGTTTGGACATGAATAAGAACCCAAAATGACAGGAAGGACACACACGTTGTGTTCCTCGTCTCCAAACAACGCGTCGCAAGTGTCGGCTATGTACGACCAACTATAGCCCCTATACTCTGGCCCTTCTGATTGATTGATTGATATGTGAGGTTTAACGTCCCAAAACCATCATATGATTGTGAGAGACGCCGTAGTGGAGGGCTCCGAAAATTTCGACCACCTGGGGTTCTTTAGCGTGCGCCCAAATCTGAGCACACAGGCCTACAACATTTCTTCCTCCATCGGAAATGCAGCCGCCGCCGCCGGGATTTGATCACGCAACCTGCGGGTCAGCAGCCGAGTACCTTAATTACTAGACCACCGCGGCGGGGCACTCTGGCCCTTCTAACCCAATTTTCCCGATTCAGCCTTTGGTTAAGAGACCACATTCATGGACCCGTCTTTACTTCACACTTCAATATAGCCATCGTTGCAACGCCTATTTGAATGTGTCAGAGAAACTTCAAATTGCTTGTGAAAGTAGTCCACAGCCCAAGATGGCTTCATGATTACTTACGAAGCAGCGCATGACGACAAGCACATAAGGAATGATAGAGACACCGCTGTGGTGTCCCTATTGTTTTGTGTGTGTGTGTGTGTGTGTGTGTGTGTGTGTGTGTGTGTGTGTGTGTGTGTGTGTGTGTGTGTGTGCGCGCTTGTCGTCGTGCGCGGCTTCATACGTAATCTTGAACTAGCACCAACTCGCTTAACTTTCGACATTAATCAAGATGGCTTTACTAATGAAAGGCCGGTCCCCGAGAGCGATGCTGGGTCAACCAACGGCGAAGGCGAATAAATACTCCACTCTATATACCTCTCCAATTCATAGACAGAGAGGAAAAGAAAAGGCGGATACCTTGGGCAGCTCCAGACCCGACATCACTCAGCCACCACCGAGCGGGTTGACAGTGTAGTGGAGGGCTGTTTTCGTTATCGTTCTGACAGTTATCCCTAACGAGGGTTAAGTTTATTCGTTCAGCCAACTGGCGGCAAGGTTCTGACAATATATTTCGCAGCACGTATAAGCCCTCGTAATGTATGCTGCTGTAGTCTTTTCAGGAAAACTTGCATCTTCACAAGGCCAGTGTCTGGAACAATCTTTTTACAGCGAAAGCGGCTATAAGATCACAATAAAAGTCACGTGCAGGCAGCAGTTCTCAACCGCCGGTGTCCGTAACCACTACCCCGATAAACAAGGAAAAAATGGTAAATAAAACACACCAAGACCACAAGGGTTTTCGAACCAGTGTCCCCTGCGTGCCAGTTCGTCAAACAATGAGAATTGCATAACTAGAGGGTTGTAGAATGCTCCTACCCAATGCAAAAGCTTTAGACATAATAACATACGCACAAAAAATGATCATTGTCAGGGGTTATTGGCTGCAACAAAGAATCATCTCGCTATTTCGCCCATTCTTTATTACTTTTTTGCATATATCTCGCATTTTTGCTCAAACAACGCCAATTTCTCTATCAATATCAGCGACGCTGACAACTCCATTTCTGCGAAAGAGCTGTTTAACGATATTGAATTACAATAATTTAATATGTGGGGTCTTGCGTTCGAAAACCAGGATGTGATTACAAAGGACGCCGTAGTGGAGGGCTTCGGACTGATCATCTGGTGTTCATTGAAGTGCACTGACATTGCACAACAGTAGGTCTGAAGGTTTATTGAAATATCATCAAATACAAATGACACGGTTTGTAAGTTGTATACAGGAGGAGGTCCCAAGGTATTCACTCTCAGGAGGACCTCCTATCGAGACTGGATTGACTGAATACAGAGTGAGAAGTGACGACGAGAAGCATACTACGAAGCGTGAATTTCTCAACAAAAACAGAAAGCAAGAGCGCCATAGTACACGGGGTCTACCGTTTCGCCTCTTTTGAAATGTGATATCGCGTCCAAGTAATGTGCCAGAGTACTACTTGACCATGCTCGAAACAATGAGAACATCCGGATCATTTATAGCAGCTGCGCTTAAATTTTTAATGTGTAGATGCATTTGCCACTTGTAATCGTTCCTTGTGAAAAAACAGCGATCATACAAACGTTAAGAGAAATTTTTAAGGCACTAGGTGTAATGAGACTGCGAAGACAACGTCGTCGTACGATAACAGCCCCGAACAGATTAAATGACGTCATACTCTCATTAACCAGTGCACATCTGAATGCAGAATCAATCGACACTGATCGCGACAACAACGATTAGATCACTAAATTGCATGAGTTGTCTCCGAAAATGACGTATATCATCCAGCTTCGTTCTCTTTCTTTTTTCCTCGTTAATGGTAATCAGCGCTATTAATTATGGCTCTTCCGGCATACGTTAGGCGGCCCGACTTTCCGTCGTACCACCGAAAGGCCACGAGAGCGACAGTAAGTCACTGTCCATTATTGGAATCAGCGTTAGGGTTACCCAATCGCGCATTCGCTTCATCCTGGAGCTTCTTCCTGACGTGTTCTTTCAGTTCCTGGAGCCGCGTCAGCAGTGTCTCGTACTGAAAGGTGGCGTCATTCACATTCGGACCCAGCTCGCCCCCGGACATCTTGGTCCCGGTAAGGTAGAGCCGCTCTGCGACATTTTTCTCGTACTTGTCGTAGTACTCGGCGAATGCCTTCAAGACGGCCGCCACAAGATCCGGCGGACACGGAGGATCGTCGTGCAGACAGGCCTCTACGGCGTCGCAGACGGCGACCCTGATGGTTTCGTGTCGCAACCTCTCATTGTAGCTTTTGCAGCCGTCGAAGAATATGCCCCTTGTTTGTCCGGAGAGGTTGTAGTACGGTTCCTTGTTAAGTAGCGACTGGATAGAGAGCAGCACGGTGCCTATGGTATGCACCGGACTCCAGGCGGAACCCGACCAAGTGCCCAGAATGTCAAGGCACAGCTACGAGAGTGACAGTGAACAGAGAATGAGACTAAAGTTTTACTTATTCAAAACTCTATTGCCATTATATTACAACTTCATTGGATGATTAGTATAAAAGTAAATAGAGTGAAAGTTTGACGCTTGAAGTTTCAAGCCATAATTTCTGCCCGCGACCATCAAGCCTCACGACACGTATATCATAGTATTCATTGTACATTTCGCCACACTGTTGAAACATATTACAATTTAGAATATTTTTCTTAGAACTAGATGTAAATCAATGCTAACGACAAACGATTACACGAGCTTCAATTGACGCCATCAAACTCTATGACGTCGTGGAACTTAAAGTCAACGTCTCCACATGTATTTACCTTTATCGAGTTTTATCGCTCACCAAACGTCTTCGCAGGATAAGAGTGGTGCTTCCTGTGCAATGAAATGGCAAGTTAGTGATACGAAAAAAAATTAATTTCTTTAATGCACCTGAAGCGGGAAGTTGAGAATGCATCTAACTCTTCAATTTATAATGGGGTGTCCCGCTCGCGTCTATCCCTGATTAGGCATCCATCATTAGGAGCTGTAATATCTGTGGTAGAATATAGATTCCGTCTACTTTGCTACAGTGTCATTTATGCTGAAGCGGCTGTTGTGCCATTGCTTTTGCTGGACCCTAAGAGTGCAATACTGCGCGTCAGGAAAATGAGATGCACGCTGTTTTGTTTCTAGTTTAAGAAGTAATTATAAGTTTGGGGAGATATAGAAAAAAACAAAGAGGCAAAGCAGGAAGATTAGCCCTGCAAGGGCCTGGTTGGCCTCTTGCACTTTGGGAAAGGGCAAATATTACAAAATATAAAGAAGTAAGAAGAAGGGTAAGGAATAATGAAAATCCATCAGATAGTGTGAACCTGAAAAAAAACATTAGCACGAAAAGGCTGACATCCCTAAACGTGGGGAAAAATGCTACATCGGAAGTTCGTGGTCACTTTCGACTACGTAAGCAGAAGTGACGAACGAAACACACCTCTCCAAAAGCGTAGAAGTTCGGGTTGAACCGCACGCTACCGTCGTCCGTGTTCACCAGGCGCACGTAAGGCGGCTGCATCGGGTAGCCTGACGGGCACTTCAGGAAGAAGTGGAAGAAGCCGCCTTCGTAGGGCGTTCCCGAAGGCCCCACCACGATGGCGTGCAGCTTGCTCAGGTCGTTGTCCTCGGGCGAGACGTAGATTCCGGGCAACGGGTCGGCCTTGATCTCCTGGATGTCCCGCTTGATCCTCAGGAGGCAAGTGGCCGACGGCACGTTGTAATCGACCGATTTCGGGTACCAGCTGGCGGCGTACATAGCGGCCGTTTGACACCCAGACAGCTAGGCCTCAAAGCGCTGGTGTCTGTCGGTTATCCGGCGCCTCTTGGGTGAAGATAATCGAATGCGGGGCTTTCGGCCTGATGCCCAGCCCTTACGAATTTAATGCGCCGTCCATCCGACCAGCGTCTCCTCGTGCCACACCCTTGTTCAGTGCAGGTTAAATTATCATGATGCCGATGCGTCTCGGATGATTGGCACGTACCCACGCAAGAGGATCGCCAATCTTTCAGTGGGGCAGTTGCATGGGAGGAGTCACAGGGTCCCTAGTGCAATTGCCTAAGATGAAAGGTCAAAGCCACCCTTCATGGGCGAGGGTTGAGCCATGTCCGCCGTCGTCCCTCGATGACGCTAATGACGATGAAGAACAAGTGCGTTTGTTTGTTTGTTCGTTTGTTTGCTTGCTTGTTTGTTTGTTTGTTTGTTTGTTTGTTTGTTTGTTTGTTTGTTTGTTTGTTTGTTTGTTTGTTTGTGCCTGTTGAAACTGGCACATACCCACTCTGGGGTGTCGGACAAGAAACGTCTAGTAGCCTATATGTAAAGGAAAGAAAATTGCTAATTACCCTTTAAAAATAAATGAAATGTAAAATAAATGTTCATCAATAAAATAAAATAACCGCTAATACCATATCAAAAGACTGAAATTTCGAACTGACCAGACCATTGAGCTTACTTCACCCGATCAATATCGAATGTATGTCCTAGTATGTCCTACATTTATTCACACTATCAATTATATCACATGTACTAGTCAAGCATATATTATAGCAGTTGTTATGTTGGCATGCTTTTAGATTCTTGAAAAAAATTACAGGCTGCATCAAATACGTTTCTGTGGCAATATCCAAATCGGAGGCGCCCGAAATAAGAACGTTATCTGTAGTTAAACCCAAACCTACTGTGGAAGTGCGTTGCAAACCACACATTCTTTTTCTGCCATCACGGCACAACTTAGCCAAATTATCCAAAAATACGCCATGACGATGACGTTGATGGTGATGCATCCACTACGCCACTATGCCATTGATGGAGGAAGAAAAAAGAAAGGAGAGAGCATGACGTCACACGAGGTTAAGCCCAGAGCTATTGTTAAGCCCACTTTGTCGGCCTAACAAGTGATCAAAACTTCAGAGCGTGAGGTATATTTTAGTCGTCTCGGTGGTGTTCCATTTTTTAACGACCTGCGTGAACCGGTCGTTCTGCGCCCCAATCATCACTCTTCTATTAAAAGCTACCGGGTGCCATACCCCGAAGTCTCGACAAATATCGTTGCTAACGTGATCTTGCAAGAAAAAGTCACGTGTTGGGGCGACACCGCTAGCTACAAAACGGGTTGGCTAGCAAAAACTGGCGACATGACGTCATGCTCCCTCATTTCTTTTTTTTTCTCCATGATGTGATTCATCATTCTGCAGATAAGTGAGGTGCCCTCTACACATCTGTTAGACATTACGTGTACTTTTTTACTGTGGTTGATGACGACGAAGATTGAGCGCCTTCCAGAGAATGCATTCTCTTTCTCTGGAGCATTTCGTTTTGACGTGCCGAAGATCTAAAATTCAAAGGAAAAGACTACTAGAATAACCCCTACAAAAGTTGGGCTTAAACTTATCACTTGCGGTGATTATTTCATTTGGCACAATCACATTTGGTTTTAGCCACGCGAGCATATTGAACGCTGTTACAATTTTTTTACGAGTCCAAAAAATGGAATGTTAAATGTTAGATTCCATTGGTTTAGGTACAGACGGTTTTCTTTTTTCTGTGTTTTTATTTTTTAAATGTTTTTCTAGAATCCCTCAAGGTTAAATTATCACCTGCAAGGCCTAATGCATTCACCCCTTTCTCTTGTGAAGTGAGTCAGTTTAATAAGCCAGGCATCGTCCGATTCGTGGCCTATACCCCGGAGTGGGTTGCGCCAAGTTGTTTAGGAAGAATCAACACACCAACCTGTCCGCTGTGGATGAAAATGAACGGGATATTTCCACTTTCACTAGAAAGGCAGTAACGTGGGCAGAAGTATGATGGACGAGTTTGAACGTCTCGAGCAGCACATACTGCCAACCCAGATGCAGAGGTACCTTCTAGCCTTTCGAGAAGACGTCGACCCCGCAACATAGCTTACACTGGTCTTGCTCAATTCTCGCTCTATTAATGCCTATGCAGACTACATCGAGGGAGGTCCTATACTGACGAATTCGGTCGTCGTGTGCTTTACCGAAACGTGGAACGCGAGAAAATCATTCATCAATGGATTGGTTCCAGCCTTCTGCGAAGGGAAAACAGCATCCCACGGGTGCTGTTGGGATGTACGCTAAACTGCCAGAGGCCGCGGAGGATCCTAAGCGGAGTAAATTTTGGAATTGGGCTAGTTGGTAGTCCATTATTAAACTTCTCAGCGCAAAAACATCCATGCGTCGTAGTAGTAATAAATTAGTTGAAAGTCTGCGCTCGTCCTCGTCTCTTGTGTTAGTTGTGACATGTTTTTGCGCTGAGAAGTTTAATAAAGGATCCTAAACGGCCAATGACCAGTAAGAGTCGCAACGGCGAACGTGCTGATATAAAACTATCAAATGGAACCGTTGCAACGAAGCTGACCCTAAATCTCTCCTAAGGCAGCCTAGCAGAATGCAACGTAATAGCAACGCGAGGCTGTGATATAAAATGCAAGAATGACTCCTACATACTGGCCGGCGATATTAATGTAGATATCATGAACAACGACTGGCTTGTGCAGCATATGACAAAGCGATATTCTCTCAGATGCGTTTCATATGACCATCAACAACGAACAACAACTAGGGGCACGTGTAAAGACATCGTTTCCGCAAACTTGAGATTAAATCCCATCCAAGAACCTTTGTATCTTTATTTCACAGATCATAAGGCAGTCTTAAAGAAGGGAGAACGAAGTTCGCACCTCAATACGGCCAATGAATCAACGTTGTACGTATACTGTACACGCGTGTTAGGGATTGGCCAAGAATCGAGTGGTCCTATCAAATATTATGGAACAGGAAACACGAGTATTGTCTTTACGCTTCAATGTCAAGCACCACCTACATTTCCCTTCTTCAGGCCTCGTATGCTCTCCGGTTTCCTTCACCGCCCAAAGGGCACTGCAACGGCATCACGTGGTGTAACGTGCATGTCGTCGCACCAGAACTTGTGACGTCACAATGACGCCCCAAATTTGGGGATCTTTGATGTGACGATGACGTATACAGTGACGTCATGCGTTATAATCTCTTTTGTAACTCGTCTAAGACGCCGCGTGATGGCCGTCGCTGACAGCCAAATTTACCGTTCGATGAGGTACCTGAGGCTTTCACCTTATAAAGGGAGCAATTATAATGATGATGGGGACGATTGATATATGCTGTTCAACGTCCCAGCACCACCATATGATTATGAAAGACGCCGTAGTGGAGGACTCCGGAAATTTCGACCACCTGGGGTTCTTTAACGAGCACCCGAATCGGAGCATACGGGCCTACAATATTTCGGCCTCCATCGAAAATGCAGTCGCCGTAGCCGGGATTCAATCACGCGACCTGCGGGTCAGCAGCCGAGTGCCTGAGACACTAGACCACCGCGGCGGGGCAATGGGGACAATGTCATACGTCACTGTCTGCCACACGCTCGAAGATATTGGCCAAGGAACTATTAAGAAAAGGAATCAACTATTATGAATATGATGATGATTTCTCAAGTCACTGGCTCCCTTTCACCTGGACTAATTGATAGAGAAGCAAATATAGTATAGAAATAGCAGTTTGTACATCGAGCAGGTTCATCCGTTGCTTTTTGCGAGGCTTCTTGTAAAGCAGCTCTGGTTACTGGCAAGTTGGTTGGTCGGTTGAACTTAAGAGGAGTGACTCAACCCACCACGGGGGATTGGCTATGAATGCCGCTGCACTGTTATTTTGGAAAAAAGGGGGGGGGGTTGCCTTGAAAAAGCTTTCTTTTTAGCTAAACAACAAAAAAACTAGTTGCGCTAACAGTCTGTTATAGATTGTTATAGAAGAAAAAATTAAAAATGTGTGTGTGTGTGTGTGTGTGTGTGTGTGTGTGTGTGTGTGTGTCTGTGTGTGTGTGTGTGTGTGTGTGTGTGTCTGTGTGTGTGTGTGTGTGTGCGCGCTTGTCGTCGTGCGCTGCTTCATAAGTAATCATGAACTAGCACCAACTCGCTTAACTTTCGACATTAATCAAGATGGCTTCACTAATGAAAGGCCGGTCCCCGAGAGCGATGCTGGGTCAACCAACGGCGAAGGCGAATAAATACTCCACTCTATATACCTCTCCAATTCATAGACAGAGAGGAAAAGAAAAGGCGGATACCTTGGGCAGCTCCAGACCCGACATCACTCAGCCACCACCGAGCGGGTTGACAGTGTAGTGGAGGGCTGTTTTCGTTATCGTGCTGACAGTTATCCCTAACGAGGGTCAAGTTTATTCGTTCAGGTATTCCAGCCAACTGGTGGCAAGGTTCTGACAATATATTTCGTAGCACGTATAAGCCCTCGTAATGTATGCTGCTGTAGTCTTTTCAGGAAAACTTGCACCTTCACATGGCCAGTGCCTGGAACAATCTTTTTACAGCGAAAGCTGTTATGAGATCACAATAAAAGTCACGTGCAGGCAGCAGTTCTCAACCGCCGGTGTCCGTAACCACTACCACGATAAACAAGAAAAAAATGGTAAATAAAACACACCAAGACCAGGTTCCTCTACGTGCCAGTTCCAGTATTGCACAACTGAGCCACGCCGCTGCTTGGAAATCACTTGCAAACTAGACCAAGGCAAGCTTGATGTCGGAGGAAACACGTTAGTATGAGTAATAAAACATCTTTAGCCCCAAAGGAACAACCAGCCGTCACACAATGCGTATTGCATAACGAGAGGGTTGTAGAATACTCCTACCTATTGCAGAAGCTTTAGACATAACATAACCACAAAAAATGATCAATGTCAGGGGT